ACCATGCCCCCCTCTATCTCTCTGTCTTCTTTCGTTTCATGCCTGTCTGTCTCCCCCTCTTCCTACCCCCTCTCCACTCCCTCACCCATCTCCCTCCCCCCTTCACTCTACCATAACCCCCTCCCCTCCCTACCCCATTCAACCTCGTCCAATTTTATCCTCAGGTTGACCCGCGCCCTCCAGGCTACCCCTGTGACATCTACTGGCATTATGACACCTTCCTCGATCAAACCGGCATCACATCTGGACAGGTCAATCGGTTTCCCGGTCAGTCACATTCATTTCACAGAACAATAAATGTTTCCACTCAAGTTACGTTTGAGGGAAATAAAGACACATTCTGCCAAATGATAAGTATAAACAACAGATCTCACGAGACGAATATCTGAAAAAACAAACCAGCCTGTCTTCTACTTCTGGCAGGTTGATCTATTCATAATGACTCCAAACTGAAGAAAATGAATTTTTTGTTCTTTTTTACGCATAGACACGGAAACTTTGCAATTTGAACCCCCCCCCCCCTTCCTTCCCTGATAAATCAAAGATCCTTTTCAGTTTCGCTTTTTACAAAGCATTCATATGTCCCCCAAAAAATCAGCGTTTTCTGTACATTTTCCCTTTCTCTTGAGGTTAAGAGGAGACAGAACGTTGATATTGGGTATATTTTTCCGAAGTAACTTAGGCACCCGAAAAAACAGGGAGAAATGTAACATAAATGTACGTTTTTGGTTGAGATGTTATAACTCTCACGTTAGAAAAAATGCCCAAACTGCCGGCGTAGATCATACATTATCGGAGAGTGGTAATCCTCTACACTTTGAAAAGGAGCATTTGTGAACTTTAAGGGTACTGTGAGCGTTGGCGCCTGTCAGATACAATACTAGCCGACAAGCAAGGATGCCCATCAAAGTTGCATAACAGGATAGTGTCTATGGCTCAACGCTCCACATTTCGACGTTGCTTCAAATGATGTGACACTAGGCCTTGAAAGTGACTGCAGTTTTAAAGTACAAGTAGCTGTCTGGGATTCTTCAAGCATGAGTGTCCGGCGCATCTGGCTCTTCTGGGCATTGGAAGAGAAGGAAAAATATACCAGTTGGCAAAATAAATGGTAGCCTATTCTGTCCATGTCGTTTTATTCCAGAAAAATTCTGAAACTAAGCAAACTGAGCCCCAAAATGTAAAATTATGCGATTCTGGTAGTTTTAACAAAAAGTGATAAAGGAAAATAATCTGAAATTATGCAAAAAATGATCAAATTTTGCTAAATTATGCGGGGAGACAGCCTATTTGAGCACCCAGCACACAAACAGGAGATTGTAATAATTGATTGCATTTATACAGCGCATATTCACACTATGCTCTATGCGCTTTTCAACCATTATTACCCCAGCAGACCCTAGAACACTCAGAAACATTTTCGGCTTCAAAGGAAGCATAGGGTGCAAGCTGCGGATTGCCTGCGCTCAAACACTAACAAACTGACTACATCTTTCGCTGAGTACAGCCAGAAACCCATTTTCACCTGGGTTGGGATAGGGTCTAATAAACCTGTCTTCGGGGATGAGCCGAAAAATACATTTCAAAACATCTCACGTGTGACTTTATACACCAAAGAGGTTCATCATCATCATCATCCGGGCCTTGCCGACTGTCGAGGGTGATCATGGACCTCCATAGTACTATTTATAACCTTTTCGTTATGCACAAAAGGCCAATATTCATTTCTTGTACTTGGTCTTAAAAGGTGTCCCCGATTCATTCCTAAATGACTGGCATTAATTGTGTGAGAGAAAAGCGGAGATAGAGAAAGAGAGCAAAAGAGAAAACAAAGAGAAAGAGAATAGGAAAGAAAGAGAGAGAAAGAGAGAGAGAGAGAGAGAGAGAGAGAGAGAGAGAGAGAGAGAGAGAGAGAGAGAGACAGATAGCGAGAGCGTTCACTTTCATATAGAGCAATAAAAAACCCAAACGCAACAAAAACACCACTTCAGTAAGGGAGAAAGGGCTTTGAAAAAATAACCTTTACAAAGTTGATTTTGTTCTTTCAAATCATCCCAAATGTAAAAGCCCTTTTGAAAACGTTCGTGTTTCTTACTTTTCATCTTTCAGCAGTGTAAATGGGTGGATTAAATGTATATATAATGGTGCGTATAGCGTCTGTTTGGTTAAGAGGCCAAAATCTTTTGTGACTACAGCCAGTGATAAGTTAGTACGCGGGATGTGGGGAAGGGGGGGGGGTGGTAAAGAAAGGAACTTCTGTAAGGATGTTTTATTATTGGAGACATGAAGAGCAGTCAAACGAAACTTGTGTTGCGAAATGATAGGTTTATGAGATATTCAAAAGTGTCTCATTTCAAAATTCTCTCAAGGGCTCCTCCTCCCCTCCCCCCCCCTCTCTCTCTTTTTCTCTCTCTCTCTCTCTCTCTCTCTCTCTCTCTCTCTCTCTCTCTCTCTTTCTCTCTTTCTCTCTCTCTCTCTCTCTCATTCTCACACACATACACACACATACACATATACAGACACATGCACACCCCTTCACATACACATTACCCACACAAACACACACACAACACACGCACACATACACACACGCGCGCGTGTGCGTACGCACACCATTGCTGTTTTTTGTTTTGTTTTGTTTTTGTAAGTGTTTTACGGCGCTCGCAACTGCATAATGTCATATGAGCGCGCAGGACACTTAAAAATGTTCAGTCTGGTAGGAAATTTTGAATTTTGCCCAGGTGGCTGCCAAAGCCTACTCTTACCGATTTTAGACCACCAAGGGATCTTTAACGTGAGCAACTCCGAGAAGGCTAGGTGTAGATCTTTCCTACCAGAAGATCAGGGGTGTGGCTGAAAGACATCAGTAAGAAGGAGCCAGGGAGAAACAGTAGAAAGGCTTCAGAGTCAGAAGCCCAGAGGAGGGAGCGAAGGAGGTAAGGGGGTGGGAGCAGAAAGTGGAGACGAAAGCAGACGACAGAACATGGCTAGAGAGCAGGAAAGGAGATGAAAGGAGGTGAAAGGAGACACTTTTAGAGAAGAAAATTTTTCGGTCGTTACCCGGATTCGAACCCAGGATCTTTGAATGAGAGGCGAACACCTTAACCTCTAGGCCACGATAGCCCCCACACCATTGTTGAAATACCTTATAGCGAAGCTTCGGGTATTGCAAACGTGTAGAAACCACCGATACGCCGACACGCATGGCTTCGTGTATTGCAAACGTGTAGAAACCACCGATACGCCGACACGCATGGCTTCGTGTATTGCAAACGTGTAGAAACCACCGATATGCCGACACGCATAGCAAGCCCGTGTTCCAAAGCTTGGAACACTAAAACGTAACCCAATAAACAACCCCCCCCCCCCAAAACAAAACAAAACAAACAAAAAGCCAAAAAAAAACCCCAACGAACACACAAGGACTCTTGAAAAGTGTCTTTAGTTGGCATTTTCCCCCCAGTAATGAAAAGAACGGACCTTGAAAACCATGTGAGACGTGGGATTGATAGATCTAATGGGGGAAAGTCTCAACCAGGATACCCGCGAGTATAGATATCGGCAATGCCCACGTTAGCACAAAACCAAGGTACATGTATCACATTTCAGCCGGGAAACTATCAAAGCCACGCACTATCAGAGCTGAGCACTTTTTGACAATATCGATACAATTAGAATGCCGATTCCACCCAACGGTTACAGTCCCCATGACATTTTATCAACTTCTAAGGAAGCTAAGTAGATCTATTTTTAAGTTGATAAAACATTGATGTCCATATTCTACCACTCAACCATAGAAAGTATAATCAATTTTTGTATAACAGCATGGGCAGGGAACACAAGACAACAAGATAAAGAAAAATTAAATCGACTAATACGGAAAGCATGTAAAATTTCAACATCTACATTCCCCTACTTGGATGAATTGTACATAACAGCTTGCACTAAAAAAATTAATTCCATATTTTTAGACAACAAACATCCCTTGTTCCCTCAAATAAAAACATCAGTCAGGAGTAAAAGACACAGGCTTCTGATCTGTAACAAAGAAAGATATAGGTCATTTTTACCGTCATCCATCAAAATGCTTCCATCTTAACCATCTTGTATAAGTATACTTTCGACCTTAGAGCATGCATCAGAATAACATTGAGTGTGTATCTAACTCCCCGCGACACCCACCGGTACAAGCGAAAGAAAAAAAAAAGTAAGTGTATCTAACTTAAGATTATTAAATTATTATTTATATTGCTGCTCATTATGCATGTGATTGTAAGCCTACGTGTTTGTGTGTGTGTGGGGGGGGGCGATGTATGTGTGTGTGTGCGTGTGTGTGTGTGTGTGTGTGTGTGTG